AGACCCTTCATCAGAAATTTCTGATGAAGGGTCTAGGCCCGAAACGTCAGCCTTTTTGCTCCTATGATGCTGCTTGGCCTGCTGTGTTCATCCAGCTCTGCACCTTGTTGTCTTGGATTCTCCAGCATCTGCAGTTCCTACTATCTCGGGTTACTACCATTGCTCTGCATTCAACCATAATTGGCCAAGGATCAAGTAAATGCTAGCTTGAAACCATTAATTTCTCAGACTTCACGCGTTGAAAATGTTCTTAACATAGATTGAAAGAAAGAAAATAAAATTTGGACTGCATGGTGATTTCATGACTTCATAATGTCATCAGAAATAGTTCATAGCCAGTGAATTCCCATAATTGATATATTGTGTGTATGGTGTCTTGGTCGGTAGTCCTTTCACCTTGAAGAGATTTGGAAGGCACTGTTGGGAATGAATTAGATCAAGGCATTGTCTAACCCATTGATATCACTCTTTCAAAGAAGATCTAAAGGTTCACTGACAACTGCACATCCCTCAATCTATACCTAGAAATAGATAATCTGGTTTTTACCACAGTTTTGATTGTGGGATCTTTTCTTTGGAAATTAGTTGCCTCAATTCCTATGCTAAATCACTGACTGCATTTCAAATGTTTAATTGATCGCAGAACACTTGGGACATCCCAAGGGCAGGAAAGATGCTGTACAAATGCAAGACATTACTTTCCCTTATTCAGTCACTGCAGCCAACTTTCATACCGAAATGTTCCACAAACACCTTGGAAGATCATTTTTGGTGTTACTGGTTGAGAAATAAGTGTTTCCAATACACCAGGAAGACACTCCTAATCTTCTGTGAATGGTATTATGTGGTCTTTACCATAGCATGGAAAAGTAGGTGCAGGAATGGCCTCATGAGGCAATACTTTAATACCAAGAATTAATCAACTGAAAATTTTTTCTTACTCAAGCTAATATATAAGGTTTACTGTATTGTCTAACAAAACAATTGTTCCATTGCAGCAGGGTTCCTTACGGTTGTACTGCCTAGCCCCTTAGCATTAAAGGCCAATATACAGCTTGCCTTCTTAATTGCTTCTTGTACTTGCATATTAACTTTGAGTTTCTTTTACATGAACATTCAAATCCCTGTGGACACCAATATTTTTTTAAAAAATCTCCATTTAAAATAAAAATTCTGCGTTTCTGTTCTTCTGTTCACAGTGTTATGTCCTTGCCCATTAACCTGCCTCTATCACTTCACAACCTCTTTGTCTCACAGGCAAGTGTCCGATGTAAATTTGTACCACCAGCAAAGGTGGATCCATTACACTCAGTTCCATAGATTGTACATAGCTTGTAAAAGTTTTGAGACTCCAACATCAGTTTCTTTAGCAACCACCTGAGAGGCAGGCAAAAATTTGTTTCAATGTCTAATCCAAAAGACAGTAACTCTGAAAGAACAGTGCACTCTCAGTATTTTAATAATTGCCAGCATTCTAGTGCTATCTAGAATACTACCCCAAAACTAAGGATTAGGTGATCATTTGATTTGATTTGATTATTGTCACATGTACCAAGATATAGTGAAAAGTACTGTTTTGCGTTGCAAATCACACCATACGTAAGTACATTGGGGTAATAGAACAGAATTCAGAATATAGTGTTACAGCTACAGAGAAGGTGCAGAGAAAGATCAACTTTAATATGAGAGGTCTGTTCAGAAGTGTGATAACAGCAGGTAAGAAGCTGTGTAAGTGGCTGATCATAACCACTACAGCATGATGGGTGCGTCTTCCAGAAATCTACTCAGTAATACCAAACTCGATTAGATGCGGTGGGTATGGACAGGACACATTGGAACAGCTGGGTGAGTCTGCCTGTTCCTCTAAGTTGAGGAGAATGGTTAAAGCGTGGCATACTCTTTTTGAAGAAATGAAGAAACCCCAGAATCTGTTTGGCCTTGGAATGTTTTGCTGTATTAGAAGTGCTTTCGTGCAGGTGGATGTTAGTGGTTTAGTGATGTTAGCACGTCACTACAGCTTCTCTGCTTTTTATGCCAAAGACTTTACTCCTTTTTAGGGCATAATTATGGGTGTAGATTTTCATTGACATTTTGAATAGGTGAATAAATAGCAGTGACCTACTTAAACCATGGCTGAAAATTGCAGTTAGGCCTGTTGATGACTTAATGCATTAGTACTCTCAGTTATCTATTCCTATTCCTCCTGGTTTACATGATTAATTATAATATATCTCAGTAATCACAGCCTATCCTGCAAGTCCTTCGTTCTATGATATAGCTGGCCTTGAGTCAGTTCATTCTTTAAAAGGGAACCAGATCTCAAATCGAGCTGAATGTTTGGTTGGGTGTGAAAGAAATATCTGAACTACTTGATTGACATTATTATCCAGTTTAGAGCAGGGTTATGGTACCCTTTGCATACAGGTGATGATGTGGCAGAGTTAGAAGGGGCTTGATGGCCTATTCTTGCTTTCTGATTTTTGCCTTCAATGGATCCAAGAAGTAACTTGAGTTTTGCTACATTACAAATAAGGCACTTGAAGCTGAGGTTCCAGTAACTTTAAACAGTGATGGGAAGTGAAAGGAGGCCTGGATATGAACCTTGTGTAGAATTGTTGAGCCATAAATTGGCCTCTCTGTTTTGTTCCAAGGGGCCCTGAAGACACCTGTTTTGAAGGCGGAGTGTTTCCAGCCATCCTGAGTTTTCCGCACGATTACCCACTGAATCCGCCAAAAATGCGTTTCACGGGAGAGATGTTTCACCCAAATGGTAAGTGCTAATTTTGGTACAATGCTGGTGCCTCCAATTCATTAGCAGGAATTACTTCATAGATGCTCACTCATTTGTGAGAGAGTCTATGCAATGAGTTGCTTTGCAAATGTTCGCTTATCTGCTGCAATCCACTGCCTTCCCTGTTTGACCATTGTTCTGTTGCTGCAGTTTACCCAGATGGGAGGGTTTGCATCTCGATTCTTCATGCACCCGGCGATGACCCTATGGGCTACGAGAGCAGTGCAGAACGATGGAGTCCTGTTCAAAGCGTTGAGAAGATTCTGCTTTCAGTTGTGAGCATGTTGGCAGGTAAAGATCAATGTGGGTTCTGTTATTCACCAGAATTGGAGGAGGCTGGAGTGAGATTGTGTTTGTACTTGAGTCCCGGACGTGTAATCTGGGTTCAGCGTTAACATGTTTGTAGTGAAGAGACCTGTGCCCTCTACCCACACATTATGCTAGGCGTAAGAAAGTTAAATACTGCAATGAAAAGTTGTTATAATCATTTATTAATCATTTAGCACATTCAGCCAACCATGCTTGTGCTCACTGTCTGGAAAAGTGACTCATTTAATCCTGTTGCTTTGCTCTCGCTCTGTCTCTGTGCAGCCCTGCGGGTTTTAAAACAATATCAGTTTTCTTTTCAAATTTACTATTGTCTTAAATCTGGCCACCCGAAGGCTTGAATTTTTTTTAAATGTATAAAGCTGCCGTGTATGAGTTTTAATTCTTACTCAACTAATGAAGTAAATTACCACTTTGTTTGGCTACATATTGCATTGGTGCAATGGATCGCTGGCCTCGTTAGCGGTTTTGTGTGCCGGTCTTTTCCTGCATTCTGGCCTGACTGACCTTTGACCTCATCTGCTGGGTTCAACTATAAAACTAGCGAGATGCACTGTAGATGTATTTTTGAGTGTGCCTCCATCACCCGTTAACCTAGAGTATTCCAGATCTCAATAGTTCCATACATAAAAATAAAAATTCTGCTCATCTTTCATCCTTTGCTATATATTTTAAATGTATCCTCAATCTTCCTGCCACTGGAAATAGTGTTTCTCTTCAGTCACCAATTATCTAAATAATTCATTTATTTATTGTTTGTAAGATATTCAGACATACAAACTAATGGTTGCTTGGTTAACAACAATGACTACACTTCAAACATTTGCTGTAAAGTCTAAATAAATTGAAATGATTATTCTAAATAGTTTGAATTGACGAAAAATTGTGCTGCAGAAAGCTCATACAATGCTTTTTAAAGTTCACATCTGAGATATGAGGTTCACAGGGCAATAAATGCTGTCCATCCCTTGAGAGGGGTAATAAGGCACTTTTGTTTTTGGCCTGCAGCTGTCCTTGCAACATAGGTGCACATGGTGCTGATAGGGAAAGAATTCCAGGCATTTGACCCAACAAGGATGAAGGAACTGCAATTATATGTCCAACTCAGATGATGTAACTTGGAAAAGATCCTGCAGATGGTGGCATATTTGATAGCCTGGATGGTAGAGTTTGTGTATTTAGGACGTACAGCTGATAAAGCCTTGGAAAGTTACTGAAGTGCACCCTATTGGTTGTGCGTACTGCAGCACGGTGTACAGTGGTGAAAGGAGTGAATATTTAAGGTGACATCAGGGTAGCCTATTAATGTTTGTGTGCATTTCCTGCGGATCTACCTCTTCCAAAACACTGAAAAGTAGTCTCCTGGGAACTTGTAGGGGAAAATCACATGGCTTGAGGCTTAAAAGAAAAGGTAAATAATTGATTGAACAGCTGGGAGAGTGGGTCCTGTAAATTTATAGAGCAGAGTTGAACATTGGGAGGTGAAACAGAGCCCATTGTGAGCAGCTGGGTGGAGATAGGAAGAGGAGATTTCACATGGTCATTTTCAAAATTGAAGACAAAACTTAAAACAAAAACGATGAAAGACTGGTGCAAAGACCCCGAAACACCTGACAATAGCTGGAAAGAAGGGAAAATATAGGTGGACCTGCATAACACCATCACCTGGTGCCCAGAGATCTGCAGTTACAAAACCTAAAGCAAATGGTGCACTGATGATCTGGAATTATAGGGGACACTGTGTATTGTGTTCCAGAACTACGACAGAAAATGTTGAATATATGTTACTGAATGCCGTGGTCTGCAGCATCATTTGTTCAGTAATGCTCCAAGAAAAATTTGTTTTATGAGAAGGAAAGTGATGAGAAGTTTAGAGTTGGGAAAGGGAAAAGCAAATGGTTCAGAGCAAACACTGAGAAACTGGGTGGAAGTAAAACTGTGAGAAAGGGAACTGGCTGCAGGGAGAGAAATTAACTACATTGTATATGCTAGAAATAAAAGTGAGAAATTAATTGAGCAGGGGAGTATAAACTTAGTGAGAGTAAAAGAAGTTTCAGAGGAGGAAACAAGTTGTGACAAGCTGAAGGAGATGTCTATAAACCTTGAATTGGGAGCTTCACATGCATCATCTCGAAACACGTACATCACACATATGTACATAGTATATCATTTATTAGGTTTATGGAGTTAACTTAGCGTAATTGCTTTTCATTTTTACATTCCTATTGGTATGAATGCCGATTGGAATCTTCCCAAATGTCTTCTGTCTCATGTTTTGAATGTGCTCATCAGTGGTGCAACAGTTATACAACCACATTCTGCTTGCTTCAGTGATTTGGGCATTTAGTTCATAAGGCAGAAAACAACATGCGTAAGGAAATATTTGCATGGAGCAGGACTGCTGGAGTTTAGAAGTATTTTGCCCCCAAATTTGGACTATGTCATTTAAAAGTAAATGCTCTAGAACCATAGAATATGACAGCACAAAGGCAGAGCAGTTGGACCATCATACCTGTGTCAGCTCCTTGGAAGAGCTACTCTCTTATTCTCAATCCTCTAATTCTTTGCCTATAACGCTGCAAACTTTTCCATTTCCATCTTAAAAATTGCTATTGAATTAGTTACCATCACTCCTTCAGCCCATCCATTCCAGAGCACAACTACTCGTAAAGAAAAGTTGTCTTATCTCCCCGGGTTCTTGTGCCTGTTGCTTTAAATCTGAACAGTTTGGTTATCCACCAGAAACAGAATCTGCCTATCAACAGTAGTAAGACCCTCAATGGTTTTGAAATTGTATGTTAATTCTCCCTGTAATCATCTCTGCTCCAAAGACAATTGCTGTTTCCATCATTGCACTTAACAAGTCCTTCATCCTGGGTTTCACACTGGTAAGTCTCCCTGTACGCCATCCAAGGCTTCGCTATCGTCCTAAATTGAGATGCCCTGAATTGGACACAATATTGCAGTTGAGGGCAAACCAGTATTTAAGTTTAGGTAAATTTCCTTGCATTTGTGTACTCCTATTAATAAAGCCATGCTCCAGATTTTTGGTTGCTACAATTTTATTTGGTCTTAGTGTTGCTTTTTCTCTTCTTTCTACAGAGCCTAATGATGAAAGTGGAGCCAACGTGGATGCCTCAAAAATGTGGCGAGATGATCGGGGACAGTTTTACAAAATTGCCCAGCAAACAGTGCGGAAATCTCTTGGACTGTGAGCAGAGAGCCCTGCAATTGTCCAGGATTGCCTGCAATATTTAATGGTTCTTTGCACATTGCTGTTTGTCTCCTGCTTTTCATGTCCAAGGGTAAAGTTAGTATTGCCCAATTTTTTTTCCAGTTGTCTCAGGACTGTCCACTTAATGGTCTCCTTTAAAACATAAGCGGACTGAAGCGTGGCTTTCATGGCTGTTACTATTTTCCATTTCAGACACAAAAAAGTGGTTGAACTTACTTGGATGAAATAGCTGAAGGGATAAAATAACCTTCCCACAAGAGGGTCCAACTGTTTCTCCATGAGTTTTTTTTTTCTCTTAAGTATTGCTTTGAATGAAATTGGGTGTGGTATTTCAATTGGACTGGTGTGTGAAGTTTCCAAAGATTTTGCATCTTAGGCCTGCCTATAGAATAGGAGACTCTCAATGCCATAACATTTGTTTCATCTTGGTTGAATGCAAACAAATTCCGAGGCGCAGTTTCGAATGGGAAGTTTTTTTTGTTCTGCTTGTACAGGCGTGCTTTTGCAGCAGACAATGGAGCAGGCTACTTCCAGCAAGCATTTCTTAATCATTAAAGAGATGAGGGAAGCATGATATGGGATGTCATTCACTACATGATCAGGGTGCCTTCCAGCTCTGTCCAACACTTTCATCTGTTCTCGTTGATGTTTTCTAGGATATTCAGCCCTTTTAATGGAGTGAAATGAAACATATAAAAGCAAGAAGCTATTAGAGGTTTAAAAATAAAAAGCAACACGAATGAACCTGGTGAAACCCTGACTTCTCGCAACCACGGAGAGCTCAAAAAAGTCATTTCAAATGGGTTTCATAGAAGTAATTCCTGCTTCTTGTCAGTGTAGCCATCAATGGTATGTCTGTCTGGGATGGGGGGTTGATGGTGTTGATCTGCACGTGAGAGTCGGTTTAAATGCGTGTGGGCCAGTGGGTATGTCAGTCAGTCTGTGTTGCTACTGGTGAGCGAAAGAAAACCATATGAAGAGGCCAAAATCTTGAATTCTTAGCATTAACGTCAGATCTAGTTGATAGTTATCTGTCTACTTCTCACTCTTGCACTCTTTTATCCACTTCCTCCTTTCAAGAAGTAAACAATGTATCCATTTAACTGGTAGTTGATATTGAAGTGATTTTAATCCATGGCTTTGAATGATGCTGGTTATAATCTGCAGCCTCACTCACTGGACGGAATGACTTGCTGTCACTCGAAGCTCTCACTATAGCAAACTATTTGTTGTTTGTATTTAGGTTTCCCCTCCTTTAGGCTGCCACAGCCAGCCACTCGAAACACATGCCAGTGTTTTTTGACATTCCTTCTGTCTGTCACGTGATGTATATAACATGGTCAATTTAGAGGTCAAGTAAGAAGTAGCCTGTGTTTGTGGAAAGGAGTGGTAATGACTTCACCAGTGATGTGGGGGGGTTCTCCAGGTATAAAGAAACAAAAAGAACAACATTAGTAAGTATGCTGCCACAGTATCCATACCTGAAAGGCGGCCAGTGTGGCTAAACAACCTTCTGATTGTGGCAGCACCAGCCATTGATAGTTTGGGACAGTGGTTGTCAAACTATTTTGGTTGAGGTGCTCCTTTTCTAGTGGGTTAATAATCAGCAGCTTTCCATCTAAATTACAATACTATAAACTCTTAATGTAAAGTTCATCATGTCCTCTTAAAAGACCAACCAAATTTTGCAATGCTTCTTGAGATTGGTGGTGTGAAAACTTTTCTCTCTCCTGCAGCTGAAGTCTCACCTTACAGGTTCAGCAACTTCTCTATTGAAGACTTTACAACAATTTACAGGAGCGGGATTAGGCTCGGTGACCATTTTGGGAACAAAGCCACTATTTCAGGTATAATCCTCACTGGCCTCCTCCTTGGACCATAGTTGGTTTGGGATTTTTCCTCCTCTATTTGCTATTTACAGGCCTTTCTATACCGGATCGTTGCTGCTACCATGCCTGGTATGTGGCATTTCTGCCACTAGGACGCTGTCAGTACCCAGGACTGCAACTTCAGTTCAGGTCCGATCACAGGTGCAGCTGCTGTATTAGCATTTTAGGTCTCTGTGCAAGGCTGAGGTGGCTGCTGCACTCTCCTTTCCCCAGTCCCAACGCTGAAAATCCATTTTCAGAGGTGCCCCAGCCTCTGTGCTGCTGAATAATCATTCCTGAGAGTCCCACTGATTCCAGGACCCAACACGGAACTCTCCAGAGTGGGAGTTTGGAGCTGCGCCGGTCAAACAGACCAAGAAAATTAAAATACTGATAAACAACACTGGCCTGACCTGGACCATTACAGCAGTGGATTGTTTGTGTTAGCTTGCAGGCTGTGTCGAAAGTCTCTGTGGGCAGATTCTAGTTTGAGGACCACTGATACCTGGTATTAGTGGCCAATAGGAAGGGGCCACTCCTTTTGGTCCCTAACCTGACTCTGGTGCGAATTGGTCAAAATTACATAGAACATACAGGTCAGAAATGGGTCTTTTAGTCTGTGCCCATATCTATATTCCATACGAGCCTTTCCCCACCTTACCCAATCTAATCTCATTTGTCTATCCTTTTATTACTTCTTTCCATTGTGAGCGTGTCCAGCTTACCTTTAAATACATATGTGCTATTTCTGTCAGCCAATCCTTGTGGTAGCAAATTTCACATTTTCATTGCACTCTGGAAGTTTTTGCTGAATTCCATATTTGTTAGAGATTTAAACATTTGAAAAATGTCACCCTGCTTCCCTAAGATCTGTTCATCTAGAGTTGGCTTGAGAAACATTGTTGGGGGGCAGGGTAGAAAGTGGTTTGCCGTGCAGCTTGGTTGTACCTCACCCTTGAAGCGTGTTGCTGATGATTGGTATTTCAAATGGATATGTTTTCTGATACCCCAGGAGTAACACTCTTCACAACCCCCCCCATCGTGCGCGCGCGCACACACACACACGCACACACACACACTCACACACACACACACATGCACACACACACACTCACACTCACACGCGCACATACACACACACACACC